CTGATCTGTCAGATCCCACATCACAAGGAGTTACGGTTCTGTGGGCGATTGTCGTGTTATGGCCGGATCCGTGTGGCGGAGACGATAGCGCAGATTCAGATCCTGACAAAATGGGATTGGAGTCACTGAGGTGATGGGAGTGATGGTGGTGATGGTGCATAGTCATTGTTCCGTTGTGGTGGCTGAAGCTGTGGTTGAGGTGGCTGGCTGCTACAAGTTCTTCTATGTACAACGGATCATTTATAGAGTTCATCGATATTTAATATCTCACAGGGGTCACAGGATCTATTTATAGAAGGCACCAGGAATCGTTAGCTCAAACAGTATCCACTCTTTGAGACGACACCCCTCCTGAAATGGATGCTTCCAGTTGAGGTATTCAATAGAATGAAAGCATCAGAAGCAGAAAATGGTCTTCTGTTAAAAAAAGATTGCAAATTCATACAAGTTAACTTTGCTACAAATGAAAGCTATTTTAACATGTTATATTCTAAGACAGAGTGACACCCTACAAGTAAATTCCTAATCTATTTAAAGATGAGTTAAATTCGAGAGGATCGACTCCATTGCACCGTGTTTTAGCCCACATGGTTTAGTTTCTGTCTAGGCCAGCCACCTGTCGAGAGCGTCTCACAGAGCACGAACTCCGTAGCTCCGGGAACAATCCTCAGGAACATGTTAAAATAAACTGCACTCTTGAAAGGACCGACAAGTCCGAACTCATGATGTTCAGGGCACTAGAGACAAGGCTTGACCATATCGCCACAGAGACTTCTGATAATAATTTAATATTAATATTTTACAGTAATTTTATCGTTGTAAAAGAATCTGTTTTTTTTTTGGGTGGGGGGGGGGGGGGGGGTGGAGGGGGGTATATGGAGAGACTGGCAGATAACAGAGAGATCCAAACTAGGTACAACTGAAGAGTATACACACCCTTGCCCCCCCCCCCGCCCCTTTCTGCCTCGCGCCCCCCCCCCATTTTTTTTAAACAGGCTAACGTGTGTGTGTGTGTGTGTGTGTGTGTGTGTGTGTGTGTGTGTGTGTGTCCTTCAACCTCACTAGGACCACACAACGAACGACCAAACCCGGTGACACAAAGTGCCATCATTCGGATGAGTACCACCCGGGTACAAGCCCCAGAAACTCCGTTCAACCATTAGGTTATATTAGAGACGCATCCTCCCTGCCCAACTATAGCCGGGGTGGGGCTTTGAAATAACGAAAAAAGGCGTCTCACATTGAGGTGGAGATCCTATATACTAAAGTTCCCATTTAGCACCATATGTTTATTTTTCCTATGCCCTTACTCGACCCTCCCCCATCCCCTAGTGGAGCATAGGCCCTCCAAAAACTCAAGCCAAATATTGTTATATTTATTGCATGCAGCTCACACCCCATGTTCCTCCCCATCACTTTTAACTTTCACTATCTAGCTCACTTCTACGGTTTTTTTTTTTTTGATTTGAGGGTGGGGGGAGAGGGGTGTCTACTTTTATGTGTGTCCCTGTGGGTTCCAGTGCAAATACATTCTAGTTATATTATTCTCAGGTTGTCTCAGCTGGTGTCTTATGCAATGCCAGCGTCTTTTCTTCACCTCTCGGTCCACTGGTACTTGTTTTGTTCTCTCCCAAAGCTCTATTTCAGTGATTCTACCTTTTCATTTAAGTTCCTCTATTTTGCGCAGGCATCAGTTAATGAATGTCTGTAGTTTATTAGTAATTAATTGCCTTATCTGTTCATCATGTTTCCGCTCCATTCAAAAGTACTGATTAGACATTAGAATTACAAAGTTTAAGTTAAGTATTTCTTTTCTTTTGACCTCCACACGTTTCCTCGTGCTATGAAAGCTTATCTTGCCTTTTTGTATTCGCATTGTGATATCTATATCAGTTTCCCCAGCGTTATCTATATTATTATTACTCTCTTAAACTTGGATTCAGTCCCGTGAGCCAGCCCACTTGTTTATGCTCAGAAAATATGTATGACAACGGGGTAGTGGGCGTTGAACGCCCTAAACCAATGATTTATCTGTTGGTGCGTCTGGTGTATGATGTTAGTAAAGCCCAGCGAACGCATGGTACGTTGCTTAGTAGTGCATAACTTAACAAGCAGTAACCTTTTCGAGTGAATAACCTAACAAGCAGTAACGTTTTTGAGTGAATAACTCAATAAGCGATAACTTTTTCTAACTAATTTCCAGCACATATAACAAAACATAGAAACTGTTAGCGTGTGCCTTGCAATGAAACCTGCCTCTGTGGCTCTAGTACATAAGTATGGACCTATATTAGCAAGACTCTCTATGTGGGTTTCGGGTGCCCATTCTTGGGATGGGGGTCGGGGGGGGGGGGCAATAGACCCATTGCAACCTAACAAGTATGTTGTAAGAGTCGACCAATCTGTAACTTTTCCTGCAAAGTCGGAGCTGCACTTGAACAGGCGAGGAACCAACAGTCTGCACAGGCGGTCGGGCTGATAAAGCTCCTAACCATAACCCCAACCCATACCACCCCTAGAAGATTGGGACTTTTTCGGGGAACTCTGGGATTTGCTTTGTTTGTGATGAACTAAAAATGAAGTACCAATTTGCCACTTGGCCCAAAACATATTATTTGTTAGTCATCACCACGTGGATGTTGGTAGGTGCATCTGCTGGTGTATTTAGAAATATTACCTTTCTGGGACCTCATTCGTTTCCACGGTGTGAATCACTGTCAGTTGTGTGAAAGGTTTTTAGCTTCTAGTAAATGTATGGCTGCATTTTGTACTTTAAAATAATAAATAAGCCCCCCCCCCCCCCCCACCCCGCGATGTCGACAGGGTCCCAAGACCCAGGTGCCAGCATAACTTCTTCAATTTATATCTTTATCTCTATATCGGTTCCTGGCCCCCAGTGGAAGGTGTGGGGTTGGGGGTGGGGGAGGGGGAGGGGGTAGACACACTGATTCCTCTAGCAGATATGTCGAAAAAGTCGACTAATTAGTTTTTTTTTTTAACCCTTCGAAGTGGAAGTGAATCTGCACGAGAGGCAAAAAAAACCAGTTTAAAAAAGGTAAAATTAAAGGACCATTTTCCACGCCTTTAGACGTCTAGGGCATATAGGGCTAGACGTATATTTTATAGACCAATCGACAAAAGATAGGTGATGTGGACTGCATCACGCCGGCCGCCTTTACTTCCCGGGTCTGCAATCGGTGCCCACTCAAGGCTGGGTCCACCTGGGAGCCAAGGTCATTTTAAAGAACCACAGGTCTGAATTAAAAATTAGGTCTGTAAAACGGGCGTGCGCCCAGAATTGAAGTTCTGGAACACCAGGAGAGTCCAGAAGTGGACGAACAACCACAGCCTTTCGTCGGATTTTACAGACGGTCAATTTTAATGTGTGACAAAAAATGTGATTATTAAAAAGAAAAAGATAATAATGTGTACAGAAACATTATTAATTAAAAATTATAATAATTACAAATTTTGAAATTTTATCATTCAAATGGATAATGATTAAATATTTAGACATCTGGTTAGTTAAAATGTATAAAAAGTGTTAAAAAATAATTATTTAATAATGCGTGCAATATTTAGGTATTCATAAATTTGATTATTTAAAAGAAAGAAAAATTAGATTTTCAAAATTGTGATTTTTTTTTAAAAACTGATAACAATTATATATCTGGATATTTAATGATTTTTTCTTTAGATATCGTAATTAAATATTCATAAATTTAATTGTTTGAAAGATATAATTATTTTTATTTTTAGACAGCTGATATGTGTTTAGAAGTGTGATTATTCAAAAGTTATGTAATCGTGTATTTAGAAACTGTATCATTTTTAGTATAGCTGTGAATCCTGGACAATCGGTAGGCAGGCCAAACAATTTTTTGAGGCCTCTGAGATGTGGTTTTACAGAAGAATGCTTGGAATACCTTGGACAGCAAAAAGAGCAAACAAGAGGTTTTGAAAGAGGCGGGACATCAGAAGGAGACAAGTCACCATTTTTCGGCTATGTTATGAGAAGAGGGAAAATAGAACATGTTGTGACCACTGGAAAGATCTGTGGAAGGAGGGATAGAGGAAGACAATGAGAGAAGATTCTTGATAGTCTTTATTTCATGGCATGGAGGTGTGACGGCACACGGACTGATACATGCTGCAGGAGAACGTGGATTATGGAGAGGCATGATCGCCCACGCCAGTCGGCAAGGCACCTTATGATGATGACGATGATCATTTCTAGAACTAGTCATCGCCTCTTGGGATGCAATTTTCCGTCGGTCTAATCTTATATGGGTGTTAGGTAGGGTCCTGTGGAGTCGACCTCATCACACACCAAGTGTCGATTAATCTGTAAAATTTAGGCCTAGCCCTATAGGCATGAAAGCGTGGAACATTATTTTCCCAGACTGACCATTCTGCTTACAAAAAAAAAAAAAAAAAAAAACAATCAACTCAGCTAAGACAAAAGCCTTATCAGCTTCTGATAAATCACTAAAAAAGAAGCTAACGTTTCGGTTAAAAATGCTTCATCAGCATATTAAAACAAAACAATACGATTAACGATACAACTGGAGTAAGGGTAGCTTGAAATTGTTTGATCTACATATTACATACATACTGGCTTCTGATAATTTCGTGTGTGTCTAGACTGAAGAACTGTACTTTAGGACCTTCATCTTCTTCGCCGTCGTCATCAAAATTGCCATTATCATCATCATCATCATGTAATTTCGATATGCATAACATGGGGCTCAGTGTCAAGTCCTCCTTTATGTTTTATCCTGTGCAACACTTAAGATACTTCCAGTGCGGTACCATTAGCCTCCCTCGTCATCATTCATTCGTTCGTTCGTTCGTTTGTTCGTTCGTTCATTTGTCTCAATGTTTATTTTGAATGTCCTCTTTACCTCAATTTATTTATTTCCCATTGCACTGCCTGTTTTGTGATTCTCTGTTTTTCTTCTTCTCAGGAAGTCCCTAATATGTTACCATCTTCCTTGTCGCATAACCGTTGATACCAGAGGTTGTCCAAACACTTCTCTTATTTAGTCACCTTTCGTGAATTCCTGGAATTTAATGTTCATTAATTTCCTGAAAGAAGGAACGAATGAACTTTATTTTCACATGGTCACAAATTGGGCACGCAGTGCTGTCTTACATTCGGCTCTTCTAGTCCACCATCTTTCGTACAGCAGTTGTATTTTACTAATAAAGCGTGTTGGGATCATATGATGATATGCATATTATAAATATTAT